TCTGCAAACACACCGTAAATAAATCCTCAGGGCTTCAATGTGTACCCACCAGTGATCTCTTCGCTGCTGAATTGCACAGGGAAAGCTGTAGGAGTCAGATCAGCTCTTTCCCTGGGATCGGGTCTCGGGGGTTCCTGGGGCTCAGTGGACAACTTGGGCTGTGAGCATTCCCAGGCAGAGGCTGTCTTAGCCCAGCACCAAGCCTGAGATACAGCGGGAACCCACCGAGTGCCAATGAGTCACCCTCCCCTTTCGCTCACCCTTGGCACAAGTTCAGAGAACAGCAACTAGGGAGGGAAGTCTGGCAGAGGAAACAGTTTGCAAAATTCAGTCCCACAAGCAAAGTCACTGCCATGTGCTCTTATACACAAGGTGGGTGGAGGGAGGTGCTGAGGCCCCTCCAAAGTGCCACAGCTGGGGCCTCACGCCAAGCAGCCCAACGTGAACAAGGTCAAGGTTCCCTCACTCTGCAAGCACTGGAACATGTGAGCACTTACACGTGCCAGGCAGTGCATGAGTGTGGGGAGAGCACACTCAGAGTTCACAGCCAGTTGCCGAGGCAGGAAACAAATGCTCTGTGGGATGCACTCTAGCTTTGAAAGCATCTGCCGGATTGGAGAAGTGTGTGTGGCAAGAGGTACATTTACCCCTGCACTTTAAATTTATGTATAATTAACTTTGAAGAAGGCAAACAAAGATCCTGGACTCAGTATTTGCCCAAAACTGTGCTGTGTGCAGATGGCCAAACACTTAAAAGACACAGCTCCTGCCTCTGGGGACATATGGGTCCATCAAACACTAAAATCACTTATAGAAGGATTCAGTGTGTGGGATGAGCTAATGAATCTGGAGAAGGGAGAGGCTAGTGTAGGCTGGAGTGGATGAAGGCGGCTCTAAGGAGCACTAGGCCCTCAGGGATGTGTGGCCCTTGATTCCCTGACTGATTGACAATAGTCTCGTGTCCAGGGTCAGTCAAGGATGATCACTCTGCCAATGAAGCCAACGGCTGGTGATTGCAACCAATTATGACTGATTCCAACCAGGGTCACTGTCACCAAACCATCTTTCTCAATTGTTGTCTGTGTCTCTCCATCCACTTTTCCTCAGAGAGAACAGCCACCACACAAGGTTGGACAAACCTAAGTGTAAGAGAGGAGGAGGAATGCCCAGATGCAGGATGGGACGTGGAGTATGATTAGAGGCACCAAAGCGGGACATCTGGGGAGGGGAAATGGCGAAGAGGCCTGATGGAGGTAGAGGATCCATCTTTAGTTGAAAGGGGGAAGAAGAGCCTCCAAGAAGGCCAAATAAGAGAGCCCCTGGGCCCTGGTGTAGACACAGCACCAGTGGAGACGTTCAGTTGCTAAACACCAGGGAATCTTGGGGCGCCAGGCCTTGGCCAGTTGAGCTGGATGACATTTATCAAGAAAGCCCTCATCAAGTCAAATGCCAAAAGTCTCTCAACTCAGTCCATGAAGATAGCGTGTAGGATGGTTGCTGAGCCACTCATAGGCTGGTGAGACTATGACAAATTCCACTGATCTCAGGTGGACTTAGTCAACCTTGATCTACGACTGTGCTTCCAATGACTCACAGTCCAGCAGCTCTACCCTGAGGAAATCCTTGTCTCAGGAAACAGCCCCAAAGACTCCCCAAGCCTACTGCTGACCAAGTGAATTGTGAGAGCTGAGGTGGGGAGAACCAGTACCAGCCACTGGAGCTGATAAGACAGCCTGTATAAAGATAGGCTGGACAATGGGCTAGGACCCCGTCACCTGTGCCGGGATAAAGACAGGGTGATGCAAGAGGTTGTGAAAGAGGCGTTTCTGCAGAATCAGCTCTTGCACTACCTGGTCGGGCCAATGGTCAGGGGTCACCAGATTCAACCTGCAAACAACAAGCTTTATTGCTAATAGTCTCATTTCTAGTGGCAAACCTTTAAGGCCATGGTCTTTCCAGGTACCAGAGCAACAGCTCTACCACTTACCATGTGGCCTCGGGAATAGTCACCTAATGTCACTAAGCATCAATTGCCCTCAACTGCACACAAGAAGGGGCAGGTGATTATCCCAACTTAAAAGGGATGCTATGGAGAGGACCTTCCAGTCCTCTGTCTGGTACATGGGCAGTCCTCGGTGAAGACTGGCTCCCTTTTCCCTCTTCTGCCTGCCTCAGTTCCTAACTCTTGTCAACATCAGATGTTCTATTCTGAGACGTCCCAAAAGAGAAGAGATGATCATGGTCTTCATGCTGCAACTGCCCTTCAATTCACACGCAAAGGTCTTCACTCCTTTCTCTTTAAATAGAGAATTTCTAGTTGGGGACTGCCTGGTCCACCTCTGAGCTCTTACCCTGCTCTCTCCCTCAACCCTACCGACCCCCCGAATCTGCCCCAAGTCACTCACAACCTCACAACCCTTACAGTAGAATGGCCCGTGGAGACCCAGAGATCTACTATCTGCTCCCCCAAAGAGGGAGGATACCGTGGCCACAGCAGTACAAGGGCTGCCTGACCTTCCAAACTCTAAGGCTTGTATTTATCCAAAAAGCATGAATTAAGAGCCTGGGGAGTACCAGGCCCTCTGCCGGGGGAAGAACGAGAGAGGCCATTTCTGATCTCAGGATGCACGGTCATGTAGGGGAGAAACAGACCTACATGCATTTATAGCAGAGTGAGGTTAAAGCAGTGATGGCTGACCTCAGGGCTGCTGGGGATATGTCACCCTCACAGGGTGCCACCAAGATACAAGAGTCACCTGAGGCCGCACCCCAAAGGAGGGTCAGTTCCTCTGCTTGCCAGTCCTATGAGACAGACAGAAACAGAAACCTCATTCCTGATTTCTAAAAAATTGCCAAATCCTGGTTTGGGAATTCACCTGCCTAAAAGTGGGAGGGTTTGGTTTGGTTTTTTGAGGTGCAATTCACATAACATAAAATTAACGATTTTAAAGTGAACAATTCAGTGGCATTTAGTACATTCACAATGTTGTGCAACCACCACCTCTATCTAGTTTCAAAATACTGCCACGACACCCCCAAGGAAACCTCCTACCCAGTAAGCAGTCACTGCCTCTTTTGTCTTTCCTCCCACACCCAGCCACAGGTCGAGAGCTTTCCATTTCTATGCATTTTCAGAAGAAAATGGCTTTAGCCCATGCACTAAACTAGACTCATCAAAAAACAAGGCACAGTTTGTCTGCAGAACTAAATGAACCAGAGTTCAAATTCCAGCTCCAATCCTTTGTACCTGGTTCAGTTTCTTTGTTTCTAAGCCTTGGTTTCCCTATCTATGAAAAAACGTACCTGCCTCGTAGGACTGTTTCGAAGATCAAAAGATAAAAGATAAAACAGCAAGCACAGCATTGTCCCCCCTCCCCAGTAAATATTCAATGAATGGCAGCTGCAGTATTTGCAGTTCTAGAAAAAAGTCAACCTGAAAAGTCCCTAATGAATATACGAAGTCAGTATCTGCCCAGCTCACCATACACAAGAATCTTATTACAACTGAAAATTTCAAGGAAATCTGAAGGAAGGCTGAACTCTACACACGACTGGATGGAACGCGGCTTTTTTGCAACACACTGACTGCAGCTTCAATTCCAGTTGGTAACTGGCTGCTTTGTGATCTTGGGAAAGTTGCTTCACCTCTCTGAGCCTACTCTCTCAACCATCTACCTCCTAAGATTGACTTAATGAAATGTAAACGTACCCACTATGAGCTGGTGCTTAACTGACTTCCTCTTTCCTCTCTCCCTTTGTTGCCTGACCCTCTCTCCTTCCCTGAGCCCCAGCCTCCTCCCTTTAGCATCTGTGGCACCCACTAGTGCTCAGGCACTCAATGATACACTGATACTATTTTAGGTGTCTTTGTCCCCAAAGTGTTAAAATAAAACCTGGGAGAAAAAAACTATTTTAGGTCAGGACCTCAACAAATGCTTGGCTGAAGTAGTCTGTTTCATCTGGATAATGTTGGTTAAAAAAATATTAATTGGAATATGTTTATATGGGGTGTGCCTGCCTTGCACTTTGCCAGGGTCCCCGCCTTTGGCATCTTACTATATATCACCTGGTTTACTCAGCTATATTGCCTGCCTTTTTTATAAGTATTCGTGACCCTTATTTTATTTCAGTTTTTGTTCCTTTTATTATGGGAAGCACGCAAGTGATGCCTACAAGATTTTCAGTATGCCTCTCCCAAGACTATTCTGCATTCACCTCAAATGCTTGTCCATTGGAGGGAACAACCACAAAGTAACTCCCATGCTGGAATTCAGAGGGAGAAATCAAGCAAAACCAATTACTCCTTTTTTTTTTAACTGAACTAATCTTTTATTTTTAAATTAAATTTAGTTCAATTTCTTTTCTTTTCTTTTTTTTTTTTTTTTGTTGAGACTGCCTCGGTATTAGAGAATACTGATTTTCTACAAGCTGGAGCTATAGATTCGATCCCCCTTTTCAAACCACCACAAAGACAGATGCCCACAGAAGGTGGCCAGTCCAAATCTGAGCCCCTTCCCAACGCTCTCTCCTTGAAGGTCCTTGGAAGTTCATCTTATGTTCAGCTTGTGGCCCTGCCCTCTAAACAGATCCAACTCCATCCAGAAACCATTCCGTCCACTACTCACCTGGCAGCTCTTCCCCTGGGAAGGACTCAAAATCCATCAGGAAATTTGAGGGCAACCTCCTGCCTAATAGGGGAGCCATGGCAGAGGCTCAAGCCCATAGAAGGGGGTCTGGATGGTGTTTCCCCTCCTCCAGGAGAAGCAGGAGAAAGGAAATACAATCCACACCTCACAGTCCTCCTTCCCATCGCCCCTCCTGGTGAGGAGGGTTCAAAGGAGCCCCTTAAAGACCAGGGTGGAAAAGAGCACTGACACGTGCCTGGGACACAGCAAGCTCCAGATTCGCCAGAGTCGGGGGTCCAAATGCCCCCCAACCGGGTCTCTGCCCCACGCCCATGAGACCCCTGGTGAAACACCCCTTCCAGATATCCCCCTTACCCTGCCAGGGCCTCGCATCTCTCAGTGCTTCCAGCGAATGGGGCCTCCTGGCTCAGAATTCTTCCTGGCACGTGAGCCCCTGTCCTCTCCTCTCACCCCTGGTTCCTCCAGGGACAGGGGGGCTTCAGAGCATCCCTGCAGGCCGAAGGTCCCCAGTTCTGAGCCGTCAGCCCCTGTCTCAACAGCCCCGAGTCAGGAGTCAGGCCATGACCGGCTTCTAACGTGCTCGGGGACTTCACTTCCTGGTTTTTCTTTCACAACTGAAAGTGGAAGCGTTCTGACTGGGAGAAAAGCCGCCAGAGCTCCTCTGGCTCCGTTTCAAAGCCTTTACCACCAGCCCCTGAGGGCTGATACAGAAGCCAGCCTGAAGCCACATGGCTTACCCTTTCCCTGTCTGTCTGACTACGGCTCAACCAAGACCGAAAACTGAAAGAGAGGGACCACCAGTGTCAGAGAGGGGAGACTCCCTGCTGGATCCCAGGACAGGAAGGTCCAGCCAGAGGGCACCTCGGCCCTCACATCCTTCCCAAGTCCGTGGGGACACCTGGAGGCCAGACCGATCCAGCCAGCATCACCAGCAGGCCGTGCACCGTGTCACTCTCTTCCCAGCCTCCAGTGAGTCCCTGAAGCAGTTCTGATAAAGCCAACAAAACAAGCACACCAGGGAACGACGGGCACAGGGGTGCAGGGTTGTTTCTTCTCCTCTGACACGCCAGCTCATCCTTTTCATACCAGAAACTTGAAATTAAAAGTGTATTCTGCTACCTCGCTCCTCTCCCAGATTAAAAGTGGGACATTTTAAAATCAAGAATCTGCAAGCACACATGCCATTAGCTGTCGGAGTGATCTCATGTCTTAGAGCATTTGGAAAACTCCATTGGACACATGTGAGATGATGACAGTGGGAAAGGCAAATAACTTCTTGGTATTATTATAAAAACTGCTTCGAATGCGCAGACGCCCTAAAAGGGTCTTGGGGATTGGTCCACAGGGCATCAGGGCCTGTAGTTGGATTCACCTAAGGCTGTGGCCACAGAAGGGCGTGGGAGCTTCCAGTCTCAAATTTCTGCCTCAACCCCTCCCCGTACCTCTCAGACGCCCTGGAATTAAGCAGCACTTTCCCCAGCCTTGGTCCTCCAGGAAGGCTCACGGTAAATCCGGCCCGAGCCTGGCTCTTTCCAAGAGTTAGATTGGGGTTCCTTCTCTCTACACAGAGGAGGTCCTAAAAGCCTCCAACTATGAAAGCCACAGAGAGGGAACATAAGAGCTAGTCCCCTTGGTCTCACAGGAGCCCACTTTAGACATGGGAAAAGATGAAATGAGGAAGATGAGGGCTCCCCCCACCCCCGCCTTTCCATCTTGTGGGTCATCTCATGGCTGGAGGAACACTTGGCTTTGCCTAGTTTCCAAGCTCATCTCCCCAAGAGGCAGCTCCCTCAGCGGAGGGCAGAGGGTGGGTGTCAAGTCCCGGCCACTCTAATGCCGCTGCTGGGCTCTTCCCTGAATGCTGTCTTCTTTTACCAACCAGACGAAGAGCTTAGGGCCAGGAGAAGATGGGTTTCCTCCAGGATCAAATGCTCAAGTTCAGAAGGGTCTGGGTCATTCTAAAGCTATAGAGCAGAGTTATATTCCTGTTCAATCCTACCTGCACAAGGGACACCCCCAAGATTTGAAGGAGTGTTGGAAGGTTTTCACAACACCCAAGAATTCTCCATCATGCAGCAGGCTGTAGTGACCTACTGATCAGGACTCAACTTCTAGCCCCACCTCCTCCCAGCTATGCTGCCGAGGCCGAGCTGTTTCAATAGCCCAGAGGCACATTATTCACCTATGAAATGGGAACGATACCACCTACAGGAGGTGGTGAACCAATGAGGTGAGCATGTCACACATCGAGTATGGACCCCAGCACCGAACAGGAAGTCTGCCAAGGCTTCCCTTCCAAGTGGGAATCTCCACCAGCAGCAGCTGATGGATAGTCTGTCTAATTGTACTGATACAGGCATCTTTTTTTCTCTCTTTCTCTCTTTTTCTTCTAATTATTTTGATACAGACACCTCTTTCTTTCCTTCCTTCTTTCCTTCCTTCTGGGTGGGGGAGGTCATTAGGTTTATTCATTCTAATGGAGGTACTGGGAATTGAACCTGAGACCTAGCGCATGCTAAGTGCATACTCGACCACTGAGCTATGCCCTCCCCTGTTGATATAGTTTCTAAATGGGAGATGAAGGAGACCCACATCCTGGCTTCAGCTATAACTCTTAAAGTTTTTAAGTCTGTTTTATTGGCAGTTGGTGAAATTAACAACTCTTCTTCCAAGCCCATCTCCTGCCAGCATTCAGATCCCTTCGATGTCCCCACCCCCTTTTCAGCTGATTTTTAGTTTCCCTCTCGCGCAAGTCAGCTGAGATTACTACTCAACCAAATGTTATTTCACGTTGTAAAACTGCCTCAGGCTGCAAATTAGACACGTCCCACTTTCTTCTCCCTAATCACCCCCAACTCCGCTATCCCACAAATACATAAACTATAGAGCAGGTAGCATTATTAGAGCTTACCTGGTGAGAATACTTTCACTTCCGGGGTCCAGGAAACCTGCCCCTCACAGCTGGCTGTGCTGGTTTCAGCACCACATTCAGGCACCCCTGCCCTCTCCTCAGTGCCAGAGATGGGGCCACAGCTGAAGCCAATGCGCACTGTCCTGAGCGGCTAACCAGCCCTCCTGGAACCTTTGAACCTGTTGCAATAGAGGTTCAAAGGTAGAAGTTGCCTGTTTAAACACTTGTAGTAACCCCCAACAGGAAGAAGTGTAGGATTTGGCAGAAGGTTAAAACATGAGATTGTTATGCAATGGGCTTTAGAGAAAGAAAAAGAGAGAGCCCTCAGCTCAGAAAGCTAACATTTAACAAGCAAAAGCTTTCATAAAGCCCGTACCTCAGGGGAAGGGAAGGGGTCAGACGGGGTTTTGCATCTGCTCTTTGGGCAGAATCCTTGAGACTGTGATAGGAAGAGGAAGGTCTAGGTAACAAGAGGAAAAAAGTGCTCCTTGAGTTTAGGGTGAGAGAAAAAATGAGAAGCCACTCTGACTAGCTCTAGCTATAACTTTAAGATTCAGATAAGCAGAGGTCTGCATTTAGAGATGAGCCTTCTCCTGGAAGGGGCCAGTGACTCCTCCAGAATTAGAATGTCTCCAAGACGACCAAATAAGGTAAATCACTCTAGAGTCTAGATGGCGGGACAAGTGTGGCTGGGCCGTATTTAGGATGCAGGCAGAATCATGGATACAGCCTGCACCACCTACGGCTTAGCAAGTGCTGGCAGAGGCAGGGTTGCTACTGCATCACTGTCCAGCCTATCCTCCTCTGTCTTTCCACTTTTAAAGTCACTAGTCACCATTCTCAAGTCCAAAATCTTTAAGCCTGCAGGGCATCATCACTAAACAAAAATGCTGGATGGTGGTGCAGGAGCCTCGGGAGATGGTTTGCAACCTCTATTTTATAGGTAAGGCCAAGGAGACCTTTCCAGGTGAAAGAAATCACCCAGAATCACACAGTGAGTTAGTATTCAAGGCAAAACCCGACCCGGAGCCCCAGACAACCACCACGGCGCCTTTGCCCCCACGTGCTGCGGTTTGCTGGTAAGTGTTCCTTCAACCACCAGCGAACCTTAAACCCTCGATACTTTCTGAGTATCAGGCCTGCAGCAATTCATGGAAATGCTGTGTTAGGCTTCTTCTTACTGTATTTGGTCAGATGGTCTGCATCAAAACTAGAGGCCAGTACCACTTCCTGCTGACTCCGCGGGGAAGAGTGGCTGCCTCATTGACACAGAGGTTTTGTTCGGCCAGATTCTCATTCAGGTTGTCGGTGCATTAACTCCTGAAGGTCACTTCTTGCCATGGAGCCCTAGTCCTGCCCTAGGACCTGAAAGAAAAGGCTTCTAGAGGTGGCTAAAGGAGATACAGTTCGGTGAGACCTGGGGGCAGGAGACCCACTTGATTGGGTTAATGTCAGCTTGTGTTAAGCAGCAACCTACCGAATGATCTGCTGGCACCACCCTTGCCAGACAGCAAGATGCTCCAAGCCTGTGGCTCCCAAACTTCAGTGAGCATCACAATCCCCTGGAGAGTGTGTGGCACTGATTGCCGGGCCAGCACCAGAGTTTCAGATTTAGCAGGACTGGGTTAGGGCCTGAGAACCTGCATTTCTAACAATTCTAGGTGATGCAGATGCTGCTGGTTCTGGGACCAAACAAGGAGCGCCACTGCCCCAAGCAGCCACCCAGTCCTCAGTGGGCTCCACTGCTGAACTGCTCAAAGGAACAGTGCACGGGGTAGTTTTGGCTACGGTGACCCTGCAGTGGGGAGGACAACTTGACACAGAGCGGAACTCATGACGCGTTCTGTAAGAGGAGTTACACAGGCCAGTGGGAAGGCCACGTCCCAGGTGCTTTGGCAGCAGCGGTGGGCATTGCCACTCGCTCTTCTCCTTTATGTAAGCGTAAATCAGAGCCGACAGCATCCCAGCTACCCACGTGAGGGTGGGTATGGAGGGGGCATCACCTGATCTAACAACCTTAACTTTATTCTCAAAGGCACGTGAGACCCACTGAAAGGTGAACCAGCTGGATAGATGAAACATTGATTTTGCAGGAGAGGGAAATCCAGAACCCAGCAGGCACACCGACTCCTGATCAAGGGTTTAACATTCCAGAGTTTTGTAAGACAGCCTCAAAACAGCCCAGATACCTCTTACGATAGGACTGGCAGCTCTCTGGAAGCGGAAACCAGGTTTTCCCTGTTTCTGAGAGCAGTGAAACACCTCAGCAGGCCAACTTCACACAGCGCCACTGTGCATTGCTATAGCTCCTCCCAATTTATGAAACACTTCCAGACTAACTCTTAACACGATATAAGTGGGGGCAACATTTTCACCATCCAAAACTTTGGTGGCTGCCAATACCCAGGCTCCATGACAAGGATTTCATTCTGTCCTAACAGTCAATCTACCAGGAAGTTACGATTTATATGGATGAAAAGATAGAAGCTCAAAGCAGGTACGTTACCTTCCTATGAAGATGATGATGATGATGGGGCCAGGCATTTCTTTAAAACTAATTTCAGACTATTTGGCAAAGCCAGGTGATTTGTAGCTTGATCCTGGAAAGGAGACCTTCTTTCAGGAGCACGACTGATGGCAAAGCAGATGTTAGAGCAGGCTGAGAGGCATGAATCAGTCAGGGCACCAAATGTGATTTAAAGATCTTTGGGGTGTTTCCAGATTCCAGACATCACTGAACCTTCGTGAAGTCCTTCTAGGGAAAAGTGGAATCTCTCCTTTTAATAAAACCTCTGCCCTCAGAATCCAGACGATTCATCTTGCACCTCTGGCTCCTCTGCCTTAGAATGTTTCATTGGAGTCAGTTACTGTGGAACAGCTACTC